CTAACGACTAGTACATGTGGGTATTAGCTTTTGAAATGTGGCCAATATACACTCTGGATTTCAAAGACAAAAAAGAATTTTAAAATACAAGGTATATTAATTTTTAATTGTTTATACATTAAAATAATATTTTGGTATATTGGATTAAATAAAATACATTACTAAAATTAAATTTACTTTTTTCTCTTTACTTTTTAAATATGGCTACAAGAAAATTATTTACGTAGTTCACATTATTAGACAGCCTGAGTTTAACAAGCGTAACTCAACTGCAACCTCTTTTTTTTTTTTTTTTAATATATTTTATTGATTTTTATAGAGAAAGAGAGAGAGGGATAGAGAGTTAGAAACATCTATCAGCTGCCTCCTGCAAACCCCCTACTGGGGATATGCCTGCAACCAAGATACATGCTCTTGACCGGAATCAAACCTGGAACCCTTCAGTCCACAGGCCGACACTCTAAACCAAACCAGCTAGGGCCATGTCTTTTTCTTAAAACATATAATACCTTGTGAAGTAAGTCTAGAAGCTGACATGCTAAATTAAGGGGCTGACATAATATCAACTAAGAAACAAGGACAAAAGCAGCCCTTAATCTTAAGCTCATTCTAGAGTTTTCCAAGGTTAAAAGGAAAGAAAGTCAGTGAAACTGGCAGAAAATTACAAATGTCTACAACCAATTTTTACTAATTGCTTGCTAAGTATAAGGCCCATAAATACCAATATGAATCAGGGCTTTCTAATATAGAACATAGCCTTTTAAAAGATCATTTTATCTTATACATACATATATGTCTTACACTTCAGAAGATTTCTCCACTGTTTAAACCATGTCAAATATTTTATTAACTGTGATATATCACAACATGAAATTACATGCATAGTATTTAAAATCCCATGTAATTGCAGCAAATGATAATAGAGTTCTGAGGAATATTATATGAACTAGAGAAATGTGCAGGTAAAAATAATTTCCTGTTATATGTAAATGCATGTATTTCATTTTAGGCTTTAAAAATGCATTTGATAAACAAAAAACAAAAAACAAAAAAAGGCAAAACACTATTCTTGAATTTTAAAAAACATCAGCTTCTTAGCTGTCCTCTTATTGGAGCAGGCAGCGTGTCAGACTCCTAAAAAGTCAGCTTCTCCTCCAATCCCATTTTAACACCAAGATAAGATTCTTCGTTATGTAATAAATATCTTACTGTCTAACCCCTTTTTGTGCCCATACCCTTTTTAAAAACATATCTTTTTCACTGATTTCGGAGAGGAAGGGAGAGGGGTAAAGAGGTAGAAATATTTATGATAAGGAGAATCAGTGACCGGCTGCCTCCTGCACACCCCACACAGGAGACAGATCGCAGTCCGGCATGTACGCCAACTGGCTCACAGGCTAACCATTGAGCCATGCGGGCTGGGCCCCATACCCTTTTTATGTAAGCATTTTGCCAATGTAGTAGTTAAAATTACTGTGGTTCTTTATAATCTTTCATTTATTCTGACCTTAGATGACATCATTGTTCCTTAGCAGGGGAGAAAGTAACCTCTAAATACTTTGAAGATATTGAGGTTGAAGTGATTCTAATTTCAAGAAGACCTAAATGAGAATTTTTTTAATGAGAGAAAAGATTAATGTCAGATTATTTTCTAGATATAATATCCCAAATTATTTATTTTTCTAAGTGGTATTAGTTAGGTGTGTATTTCCTCCTTTGATTATTTTTGTTCTTTATCTTCTGAGTGGTATAGAGTTAGATAAACTTAAATAATCTAAAACTTACTTAGTCATATTTAGTCCAAGTTTCACTTCAAGGAATTTCAGCATGTGCTCATTTTCGTTGTGTGGGACAAATACCTGGAGGAGAAAAATACAAGTTACCACAAAAAACAATTTGCTATACTCACAGTAATATGCTATTGTCCAATATTACACACAGAAAACACAGCAAGACTACAAAACAATAAACAGGAATGAAATAATACATGGTGTAACTGTGAAGCAAGGAGATCCACTGGCAAAAGTTCACCACATTACTTAACACTCAAGCCTAAAATGAAATATGAGTTTTCAACCTTATCCCATCTGGCTTAAGTAATTTACCTACTCTTCCAAATATTTTGACTCATCTCAGTTGATTCCATGTATTACTTAATGTTAACTGCGTAACAATGACTCTTTAAACTAAATGGAAAATAAAGTAGATGTAATTTTAAAGTACAGCCAGAAAATAACCATAATCCTATTTTCTAACTTAATATGCTAGGCATGACTATTAGTCAACTCAAAATTTTACTGTACAATTATCCTGCTATCGCATTATCCTCATTAAAATTTAGGTCTACTCTATTTCATTACTTCATTTATTCTGCTAATAAAGACACAGAGTTACTTACCTTCATTATAATATTCAATGTCACTGTCAGAGTACACACCAAATGAAAATTAATAACTTTCATTATTTTAGCTACAAAAGTTCTTTTCTTCACATTTGGCTGTGGGGGGAGGAAGGGAATAAAATGAACAAAGAAGTGAGGCATAAAAAAATTAACATTTTAAAAATTCACCATAAGAATGATAAAAAGGCCATTTTAATTACCTGAAGGCACTTAACAAGCATTAAGACTACTATTAAACTTAATAAAGGCGACACCAATAAAGCTGAATTCTCAAACTGCAGTAAATATCCCAGAAACAGAGAAAATATATAGATTTTATAAACTTCATGAATCTGTAGGGACAAAAATAAAATGAATAAAAGCAAAATGAATTTATTGTCCACATTTTCATTAGTTTTGTTTAGATTTTACTATAATCACAAGATAATTGCTCTATTGTCATTTAGGACAATATTGTGCAAATGTTCAAGTCTTTTTTTAATGTTATGCTATGTAATTAATTTATCACATCCTTCTGGAAAGAATTCTTGCAAACAAAGCTAAAAGTTTTAAAACTAAGGACATCTAAATCTGCTGGAAGAACCTTCTGCAGTCCCAAGCTTTGACTTAATTTGACATGGCTTACCTTGTTGTTAAAATACGTCAATGCAACATCGAACTGCACAAACCTTTAGCAGCAGTTCCCAAAATGTACCTAATGAAAATATACAGCCATAGCATGCAGGACCAGAGAAAAGTATTTTTGCATTTGGTCTATTTAACAATGAGCATAAGAAAGTTAAATTCAGTGTTTTAATAGAAGATCTTATAAGAAAGTTATATGTCTTAATAGATTTAATTCTAAAATTCAATAGTATAATAATTTAACCATCCTAAAGTTAATTCATTTTATTTTTTTATTATTATTTTAATCATCATACGAGGATATTTTTTCCACTGATTTTTAGAGACAGGGAAAGACAGAGAGAAATATCCATGTGGGAAAAACTCATCGATTGGTTGCCTCCTGCATGTTTGATGGTTTTAGATACAACACTATAAAAACATTTATTCCTCTGATTATAAAATCACAATTTCAAAATGCCATTAATACCTTGTCACTTTGCTCCAGTGAAAAATTATCTAGCAAGAACAGAGATATTGCTTGAAGAAACAAGAGGTAGTGGCTGTACTCCCACATCATCATGAACATGTAAGTTGAAGCACTCATCAATAAGTAGCAAAACCTCTAGGGAAAACAAAAGAAAGAAACTAAATATCAATAGCACTATTATTATAAATATCTCTGAGGTTGTTACCTCAAAGTGGCGGCTCTGTTGCTGGTTCAACTTTAAGCTCATTCTTGAAATTTTGTTTCTAAAAGTAATTATCAGTAAATCCTTAGATAAACAGTAAGATCTTAAAGCACTCTAGAGAAAAATCAATGACAGTCCTTCAAAGCTCAACACCACACTGAGAATTTCAGAAGACAAAGGGAAAAATTAAAAAAAATTCAGTACAACTTTCTTTCATCATTACCTTACCTCTTTGATGATGAAAGAAAGTTGTACTGAATTTCTTTATTATGTAATACTTTAAAGCAAAACCTCAGGGAATATGTTTTTTTCTTCTGTAGATTCTTTTAATTTTTGAAAATGAGTTGTATGTTAATAAACACTGACTGCATTAAAAAAAAATAACATAAAGAAGAATATTGTTGCTCAGAGAGCTATTTATACAAACACAGCAAAACAAAACGTACAAATCTGAAATGCGTTAGTGTTATCCTATATAATAAAGAGCTAATATGCTAAGTATCAAATGGCAGAACGAATTTCTGGACAACCTTCCAGACAAAGCTGTAAGGGCTGAGGCCTTTGCACAAATTTCGTGCATCAGGCTTCTGGTTTTACATAAAAAAGAAAATGCTATAGTTAATAAAAAAAGAAATTAGAAGTTTCCTGTGCTCAGAATATTTGTCATCATTGAACGTGGAAGAGAACACAGTACATTTTTCTGAGATTTCAAAAAGAAATCTCAGAGAAACTTTATTTCTTTTTGAAATCTTAGAAAGAGTGCATCTTATTCCCAGCCAATCAGGTTCAATAGAGGCCTTTCCTTGGTCCTTATGATTTCCTTTTCCAGTAGGAATTCTAACCCAAGACAGGCAGGTTGTCAGTCTATGCACTAAAATCTTTACTGTGTGAGTCTGTAAGCTTCATCTGACTGCCAAAAGGGTTTACGGCAACAACAAAAGAAAAAACCTAAACTGTCTGGGACAGACTCCTGAAACTCACTAACCTATCTACACCCCATCACAGAAAACCGAGGTAAACAGAGATGTGCAGAGCTACCATAACAGCTAATGTTGCTGTCATTTGTAGACACTTTTTATATTTCATTAATATTTCTTTAACTTGTGATGACTAAAGGCCATTAGTGCTCCAGAAGTGAGAGAAATTGTAAAATAACAATGCGATTTTCAAAATAAGGTATTACTCATATATTTGTCAAGTAAATGCACTAAAACAATATATCTCCTTTCGCCTAAAAATAATTTATTGTCAATTAGAATGCAGAATAACAGTGTAATTTATATCAAGACTACCTAACTATATCATTTATTATATAGTAACTAAGCTTCCTTGAATTTAACTCATCATTAGCTTTAAAGTATGTACCAAATTTGTAATATGTCAAAATTGTGAGAAATAAATTTGTATCTTACCCCCCCAAAATTATTTGTATGATTAATGAAAATAAATCCCAACTTATGACCAAAAAAAAAACAAATTCTATCTTACCTCTCCATAAGTATTTAAGTTGCTTTTTAAATAGCCGGTAAGTGCAGCGATTTGACATGCAAAATATGGTAGTGCCCAGTTTTCTCTTAAAGGAATGGAGTATTCAATTCTTGTTGTATCTACTCTAAAATAAACCACAGATAAAGAGCAAAATAGCAAGACATTATATTTGTGTAAAACTATACTTATCAAAATAATTTCACACACATATCATTGTTCTCCATAACAATCCTGTGACATAGACACAGACAGAGCCAACCACTCCATCAGCCCAGAATTGGGAAGCTTAATCGACCAATTCCTGTTCCAAAGGTTCTACCACTGTCCCTCAACTCACAAATTAGTGTGTAAAATCTTTAACACTCTGCTCCAGAGAAGCAGTTGGCTGGATTCTCTGCTCAGAGGCTCCCTAAGCTAAAATCAAACCATCAGCTAGGGTTGCAGTTCTCATCCATATTTATAGCCTTTTATGAGCTCAGTGGTTATTGGGAAAAATCACTTCCTCCTCATTTCAATCCAGCAACAGAACAGCAAACCCTTCTCATGCTTCAAACTATCTTTGCACTAGTAGGAAAAAGCTCTCCACTTTTAGGGGTTCATAACATTAGATCAAGCCCACTGGGTAATCTTCCTACTTAAGGTCAACAATGCATATAAAATATAAGGGTTAGGGAGAGAGCATTTTTAGAACTGACTACCACAGACACAGAAAGTTGTAAAACTTAATTAAAAACACCTTTCTTACCTGTTAATAATGAACCATGCAACAGTAAGCATTCCTGCTAGCCAGGTTCCACTCATAAGCCAACTTGTAACAAATAAAGCAGAAACATATATTCCTTGCAATCCAAAAACAATACCAATATAGAAGTATACTGGCTCAATAATCTCCTAATTGGAAGAAAATAGAGAGAGAATAACAGAATTCCATCAATTAATTTTGAGGATCCATAAGTATGTGAGATAATAAATATTATAATAAAAAGAAAAGCACATACGTTGCTACCAGTTGCTTGATATAAAACACTGGCTATAAGTTCTGGATATAGAGACATTTGTTGCACTGCATTTATAGTCCTCAGAGATACAGTTTTGTTATTATGTGTCAGTTCATAAACACCTAAAGACAGAAACATTTTTCTCTAGGTTATTTATTGTGTTTTTGTGATAACTAAACATGTCAAATGAAACATGTGTCTCATTTTTCCAATTATTTTATTAAGTACAAGGAAGAACAATATCTATATTCTGAGACAAATCTCTACAATCAAAGGCTACAATTCAGAAGAACAATGTTTTACTTTATATTTACTTATTTAACCTCACCTAAGGACATGTTTAGAGAGAAGGAGGAGGAAGAGAGAGAGAGAGATTGACATGAGATTAACACCAAGTGGTTGCCTTCTGTACATGCCCCAACTCAGGACAGAACCCAAAACCTGGGTATGTGCCCTGACCAGGAATTGAACTGGCAACCCTTCAGTCAGAATGATGATGCTCAACCAACTGAGCCACTTTGGCTGGGAAGAAAATCTTTTACTTTATAAAAACATTGTTATTAAAAATGTAAATGTAGTTATCATACCTCTTCCAAATGAAGGAGCCTTTAACATATCTTTATAATAAGAGTAATAAATGGCACTGTCACCCTGGAATGTGATTTCTCGTTCAAGCTCCTAAAAGAAAATATGATTATTTAAATACCAGTGTCCTAAATTTCAACCACTATCTTCCTTCTCTCTCATCTTCTAAACTAATACTACTTATTTATCCATTTATTCAAAGATATGTTTGAATTTTCCTTTAAGTAGGTCAAAGTTTTGGGTGTTTTTTGTTTTGTTTTGTTTTTAACGTTTTTATTGGTTTCAGAGAGAGGAAGAGAGGGGCAGTGGGGTGGAAACATCAATGATTAGAATCACTGATTGGCTCTAGCCAGCAACCTGGGGATCTAGCCAGCAACCTGGGCCTGTTCCCTGACTAGGAATCAAATCATGACCTCTTGGTTCATGGGTCAACGCTCACCACTGACCCATGCTGGTCAGGCTAAAAATATATTTTGATCCTGAAATTTTCAGATTGTTTCTGAAAACTAAAAAGCTGAGTAAACTCCTCATCATTTCACTGCCACCAAAAGTCTCTGATAAATTAATTGCATGAAGGAAAGCATTCTCATATTTCTATTCTATGGCCTTAAAATATGTTACATTAAAATTTTCAAGGTTGAGCCGAAACCCGTTTGGCTCAGTGGATAGAGCATCAGCCTGCAGACTGAAAGCTCCCAGGTTCGATTCCGATCAAGGGCATATAACTTGGTTACGGGCACATCCCCAGTAGGAGGTGTGCAAGAGGCAGCTGATTGATGATTCTCTCTCATGGATGTTTCTAACTATCCCTCTCACTTCCTCTCTGTAAAAAAATCAATAAAATATATTTTTTAATAAAATTAAAAAAAAAATTTTCAAGGTTGATACTGTGAGTTTTTTCAAAACAGCTTTTACACCATTTTGTTTCTAATGGCTATAAATAAGAAAACACTTGACTGTCGTACTTATCACACGATTTGGGCTCCCTGGAAAAGCAAATCAGTTAAATTAACATTAAATACTAAAACAACTCTCATATGCTCAAAAGTCTTTCTTCTTACCTGCCTGTTGGAAAACCAGAATTTCCGCTCATGGTACGCTGACAAATAGAGAGCATACATCATACCACTTGTAACTGCTGCAAGACAGCCAATGAAAATCTTTGCAAAGCGCTGAAATAATACATCTGAAAAAGCATATTGAAAGTAATTAGATGTAGATGATACTTATATTTATGAACTTCTATTTAAAAAGAAGACGCACCGAAGCCAATTTGGCTCAGTGGTGGAGCGTCAGTCTGCGAACTGAAAGGTCCCGGGTTCGATTCCGGTCAAGGGCATGTACATTGGTTGCGGGCACATCCCCGGTAGGGGGTGTGCAGGAGGCGGCTGGTCGATGTTTCTCTCTCATTGACGTTTCTAGCTCTCTATCCCTCTCTCCTCCTCTCTGTAAAAAATCAATAAAAAAAATATTAAAAAAAAAAAAAAAAAGACGTAATCGCCCGAACCGGTTTGGCTCAATGGATAGAGCGTCGGCTTGGGGACTGAAGGGTCCCGGGTTCGATTCCGGTCAAGGGCATGTATCTTGGTTGCGGGCATATCCCCAGTAGGGGGTGTGCAAGAGGCAGCTGATCGATGACTCTCTCTCATCGATGTTTCTAACTCTCTATCTCTCTCCCTTCCTCTCTGTACAAAATCAATAAAATATATTTAAAAAAAAAAAGAAAAGAAGACGTAATCAAAAGTTAGTATGCACCCTGGATACGATGTGACAGAAATGGCATTCTAACTCTACGGTCATCCTTCCCAAAACCCATCGCCCCAGTGTGATTCTGAGAAAAACAGCAGACAAATCCCAACAGAGGGGCACCCTACAGTGCACCTGACCACTATTCCTCTAAACTGCCAAGGCCATCAAAAACAAGGCCTGGGAAACAGTCCCAGCCGAGAGGAGTCTATAGAGACACGACAACTAAATGCAATATATCCTGGATGGGATCCTGGAACAGAAAGAGGACATTATGTAAAACTCAAAAAAATGTGAATAAAACATGGACTTTAGTTTAAAATAATGTATCATTACTGGTTCATTAATGGTAACAAACATACCTTATAATACCCTATATGATAAAGAGCTAATATGCTAATTAGACCAAACAGCCAAACAACTTTCTGGATGTCCTTCTGGATGAAGCCACGGTGGCAAGGGCTGAGGCAGAGGTGGTTAGGGGTGATCAGGGAGACAGGCAGAGTGATTAGGGGCAATCAGGCAGGCAGGCGAGTGGTTAGAAGCAATGAGGCAGGCAAGTATAATAGAGTGGTTACGGGCGATCAGGCAGACAGGAGGGCCAGCAGTTAGGAGCCAGCGGTCCAGGGTTGCGATAGGGATGTCCCAGATTGTAAGAGGGTTCAGGCTGGGCTGAGGGGAACCCCTCCCTGTGCACAAATTTCATGCAACAGGCCTATAGTTAAATAATAATAAGGAAAACTCCATTGGGAATTCTATACTGTCTGCTCATTTCTTCTATAAATTGAACATATTTTTAAAAATTCAATTCAATTCACTTAAAAGAGAAATAAATAGAATGTACTACCATACCAAATATCTAAAGAAAAAAATAGATTCAAATTGTAAAAAAAGAAAATAAAATGTACAATTCAATAACTTTTGATGATTACGTATTTAAAACTTCATATACAACTGTTATGTATATGTAACAACTTCTTGATGAAATCACATAAAATATATTTGGATTTCCTACACACAGGATGGTTTAGTCCTGCTATAGCTATTAAGATTAAATATAAGCATGGGCCTAAGGCCCAAAGCCTAGTGTTCTGCTACTGAATGACTGGAAGTTTATAAAAATCAACTTGTTGATTTATTTGTTTAGATAAACTAAAATCATAGCTATTTTCAATATATTATTTCATAAATGTTAATTTGCACAGGATATTAGAGACATTAAGGCCTATTCAGATATCACTAAATTATTTTGAATTATAATAAAAATGCTTGAAAAACCATAGCCAGTAATCCAATATTAGTATCTGTATGATACAATTATTTTAACATTACTGTTTACAATAGTATGTATAAAGCACCTGGCAGATAGTAAGAACTCAATAAAAACACATAAAAAAAACTTATTTATTGTGGCAGTTTGGCAAAAGTTCTTCAAAGTTTCTAAACGTGGATCTTTTCCTGTGTGTTTTTTATTTTTTATTAAGTCTTAGAGTCTAAGACTTAGACAATAGCAAGCTAATCCTATCAAGTACTATTAGAAACAATACATTCGATCAGATCTTATACAGACACTCCCTGACTTACAGTGTTTCTACCTTAAATTTCCTGTATTAAAGTGTGTTGTAAATGAGTGAGCTTTGTAGGTTGTTCTATAGTAAAACCTAAGGGAAATTGACTGGTACCACCACATCTTAATCACAAAATGTTTCTACATTTAAAATATTAATGTAAAAAATACTACCTAGTATAACTGTATTTTTGTAATAGCGCAAAAACTCCAAATCTATTTAACTTACGTTTTGGAAGTCTTTCGGTAACTGGAGTGTCATTGATTTTCTCTTCTTTGGCAGATTCTTTATTTTCTGAAGATTTTGGCTTTTTTCTTTGGCGCAGTTCTATAGCTGGTCCTTAAAATATTTGAAAAGTTATTGCAATGTGTATCAAATTATTCTGACTGTAACCCAAATGATTAACTTTTATTATACTAAGGTGAAAGTCACACAAAGACCTATCAGTACCAAAGATAACTTTTTCATAATTATTTTAAAACTCATCACGAAACTGTTTTTCCTCCAAACAAAAAAGACAGTATCAGTTCTACCTTCAACAAGTGGTTTCAGAATCTTTTTATTTTTTTATTTTATTTTATTGATTTTACACAGAGAGGAATTGACAGGGACAGAGACTTAGAAACATCAATGAGAAACATCAACCAGCTGCCTCTTGCATACCCCCAACTGGGGATGTGCCCGCAACCAAGGTACATGCCCTTAACCGGAATTGAACCTGGGACCTTTCAGTCCACAGGTTGACGCTCTAATCCACTCAGCCAAACCTGTCCCGGCATCAGAGTCTTATTGGTAAACAAATGAGCTCTTCTCCAGAGAGGAAGGTATTTTCACAGTATCACAATATTTCAAAATAAGTAAATTATTTTTCATGATTGGGAAACAAACTGTTATGTAATAATAAATTAGCTTATTATTCTAGTAACCTATTAGGTTACCTGCATAATTCATGGAATAATATTTCAATCAAAATATAATAACATACATTGACCACACTATACCTCATTTTTTATTTATATTCTTAATGTATTTTTACTGATTTCAGAGGAGAGAGAAATAAGAACATCAATGATGAGTCATTGATCAGCTGTCTCCTGTATACCCCACCCTGGAATTGAGCCCACAACCCAGGCATGTGCCCTTACCGGAAATTGAACTATGATATGTTGGCCAACCTCATAGGTCAACGCTCAACCACTGAGCCATGCCAGTTGGGCATCTTATTTTTTTACTTTTTATTAATTGATTTCTACAGTGAGAAATGTGGAATTGTTGTTCCACTCATGTATCATCGGTTGCTTTCTTGTATGTACCCTGACCGGGAAACAAACCCACAACCTTGGCGCACCAGGACAACGCTAACCAACCGAGGCGCCGGGCCAGGGTTATCCTTCTTTTTAAAAAAATATATTTTATTGATTTTTTACAGAGAAGGGAGAGGGAGAGTTAGAAACATCAATGAGAGAAAAACATCAATCAGCTGCCTCCTGCACACTCCCTACTGGGGATGTGCCCGAAACCAAGGTACAGGCCCTTGATCAAAATTGAACCTGGGACTCTTGAATCATCAGGCCAATGTTCTGTCCACTGAGCCAAACCAGTTAGGGCTATACTTCATTTTTTAAATAATCCTGAAAGTTCTGCAGAATTTCACAATGCTGTGGTGTCATTATCATTCAATAGTATTACAGACTTAGGTATTAGAAAACAGCTGTACCTATAAATATTCCTGTACTTGGGAAATCTCAGAAAATTCCCCACTAGATTACCTACCCTTTAAATATTCTACACACACAAAAAAAGGCATAATGCAGAAAAGTTCCTCCAAACCAGTAAACTAAATCCCAAATTAAAAAGGAACTTACTGTATTCAATGTAAATACTTTTCCTTGTTAGGACTCATTATCTTATGGGATAAGCTTTGCCCTTATGAAGTTAGTGTCAAGTTTATAAGGTGGTTTAAAAATTTGTCTCCTCCTTATAAAGGAGCTTTTTCTTTTCTTTTTGTGATGACTTCAGACTATGAAATATAAGCGTAAAGCCATACTGTGAATTTTGAGATTTTGTGCATACAAATCTGGGTCAACTAATATATTCCTTCATGATGGTCTTTTAATTTTTCCCTTCTATGAGTTAAAGCAAAAGTTAAAAATGGTCAATAAGAATAAAGTTTTATTTAAAGCCAATGAAGTCTTTAGATGCAAGTTATTATTTTAAATTTTATTTTAAAAGCATACAAGAAAAAAAATAAACTTACACAAAAATACAAAAAAAGAATAAAATAAAAGCATACAAGAAAAAACACAAAAAAGTTTACTTAGTAGTTATACATGCATACTAGACACATTAATGGTTTTAGATTTAAAAATTTTTTTAATTGGATAATCTCTGAAATCAAATTAACAAATATATTGAGGTAGTTAACAAATGTGTGTGGCCAAGAGGTGTTTGTGACCAAGGTAGGTGTCTTTATTAGATAGTCTCTAAAAGCACACATTTAAGATAGAGATAAAATTGGGGAGTGATCACATAAGTCTTCTTTTCAAAAGCTACAATTTTCCTTTTTCTTAAAAATTCTTTATAAAATAAATCACTTTACAGGGACTTTAATAAAGTGTTCTCTGTGTACATAAATGGATATTTATAAAAGTACAATTTACACAAAAATTTTGCAGTTTCCAAAGTAATTTATGAAGCATACAAATCTTAACAGTCATCTCTCAAGAATCTATATGAGTAAAGACTATACAAATCAATATCCTGATGTATATAAAAAGCCAGGAGCCATCACGACTGGAACAACCAGACGACAGAACAGCAGGCTGCATGGGGCAACCAGGCAGGCAGAGGGGACAGTTGGGGGGGGACCAAGCTGACATGGGGGGCAGTGAGGGGCAACCAGACCAGCAGAGGGGAGCAGTTGGGGGCCACAAGGCCTGCAGACAGAGGCAATTAGGAGTGATCAGGCTGGCAGGGGGGGGGGGCAGTTAGGTGTAATCAGGCAGGCAGGTGAGCAGTTAGGAGCCAGCAGACCCGGATTGTGAGAGGGATATCCAACTGCCAGTTGAGGCCCGGATTGGAGAGGGTACAGTCTGGGCTGAGGGGATCCCCACCCCCGTGCACAAATTTCATGCACTGGGCCTCTAGTACTACATTTATAATGCTTTATTTTTTAAATTCTAAAATGCCATTATTTAATAAGTTTTTCAAGGGGAGAAACCATTAGCATATTAAACATATGCACTGATTTTAGAACATGACAATCACATTGGCATTAAATTGTGGGAACAAAATATACAACTTGGAAAATACAGTACTCATTTTAGCCAATCTCTTCAACCTTGTCCTTAAAACTAATTTTCTAACTGTCACCATTTCACAAATCAGATTAGATGCAAATTTCACCTTGTTTTCTCTATATTGATCTCCTAAGTTAATAATTGGTAAACAAAGCCAAGAATCTCTCAGTGGTAATAATAAAGAGTGGACAAACTAGATTATTAATTCTGATAGAAAAACTCTAGGATAAAATTCAAGTTTCCTTTCACTATTTTACATATTTAGCGTTGCGAAGAAAAAAAATGAAAGTAACAGCCACAAAAAATAACCTGCTATTTCTGGTGCAGTGATCTTTACATGAGATAGTAGGAATACAAAGAGGCCTGCAAATGTCCATCCAGAATATAGGAATTTCCACGTGAAGTGTTAATACTGCTCTACTCAAGGCTGTCACTTTGCTCTAACGTTTTGTTCAGGAAGCATAAACACCCTGACCCCTAGCAGCAAAGAAGACATCTTTTGGAAGATGAGATTCCTAAATAGAATTTATTTAGAGAAAAAGTGGGACAACGAAGAGGATCCAAGTGAATAGGGGGGAAAAAAAAAAGATATAGAGTACATGGGGATACAAGAAAACAGTCTAATTTTAACACAAGTGAACACAAAATAACATGTATTTTGGGGAGGAAAAGGACTGAGTCCTAAGTAAATGTAAAACACTCAGCCAGGACCGGTTTGGCTCAGTGGAGAGAGCATCGGCCTGCGGACTGAAGGGTCCCAGGTTCGATTCTGGTCAAGGGCATGTACCTGGATTGCGGGCACATCCCCATTGTGGGGTGTGCAGAAGGCAGCTGATTGATGTTTCTAACTGTCTATCCCTCTCCCTTCCTCTCTGTAAAAAATCAATAAAATATATATTTAAAAAACAAAAGTAAAACACTCAGAATGCCTGGCATACAGACATGCCTGCTATAAATAGCTTTACTAGCATTACTATAATAAATAAGAATTCAATTATTCACCGGTGACCATTTTATCCCAGCACCTACCACAGTAGGGATCCAATTATTTATGTAACTTAAAAATGTGTTACCCTGGCTGGTTTGGCTCCATGGACAGAGCGTCTGACACCTGAGGACTGAAGGGTCCCGGGTTTGATTCCGGTCAGGGCCACGTGCCTGGGTTGCAGACTCGATCCCCAGTAGGGGACATACAGGAAGCAGCTTATTGGTGGTTCTCTCTCATCACTGATGTTTCTTTCTCTTCCTCTCCCTCTCAGAAATCAATGAAAATATTTTTAAAAAGAGAAGCAACCCTTTAAAAACAATGTGTTGAGTGAAACTATATTTTAAATAAACTGCGATTGTTTCATATAAGATGTATTGCTTTGAAATATCTGTAATTCTACAACCAACAATCATTTTCACTTTATATCACATAAGTTAATTTTATAAGATGGTATGGTCTTTTTTTCCTCCAGAGAGGGAGAGGGAGAGAGCGATAGAAACATCAATGATTACAGAGAATCATCAATCACCTGCCTTCTGCCTGCCCCCAACAGGGGATCTAGCCCACAACCTGGGTATGTGCCCTGACACGGAATCAAACCATGACCTCCTGGTTCACAGGTCCATGCCCAACCACTGAGCCACACCAGCAGGGCAATATGGTCTTTTTAACTGTGTAACTATATTGTCATTTTATGTGATGCATAATATTAAAGACTTTTAGTACCCTGTTATTAGTTGTTGTTTTTTTTTAATTTATCTTTATTGTTGAAAGTATTAACAGACTCCCCCCTTCTCCCTTCATTGACCCCTTCCCTCCCACCCTTCCCTGGAGTATTGGCAATTTTCAACCCTTTTCACCTCATGCCACACACAAACTAATTACTAAAATTCTGTGGCGCACACAAAAATATATTTTTTTGCTGATCTGACAAAAAATAGGTCTAATTTTGGTTCATTCACACCAGATAGCTATTATTGTGTTGGCTGTTGTCATTCTTTTTCCTTGACAATCTAAGGGAAAAAGCGGTCAGTGCCGCTGACTACGAGTCAGTTATTGCATGTTTTAAAAATTCTTGCAGCACACCGGGTGAAAATTGCTGCTTTAACACGAGCGTGAACCTGCTCAAGGAAACTTATAAACTATCTCATCAACCTACCCCCACAGCTTTGCAATTAGTCAGGAAAGGAAAAGGAAAAAAAAGTCAAGACATGCTTTAAATATACTGCAGCCAAGATTAAAAAACAACAACAAGGCAACAAATGAAATTAGATTCTTCCTCACCGACCACAAATAGTCTTGCTTCTGAAGCTCTTTTTAGGTAGAGTGTCTTGTCTTACATTTAGATCAGTTTTAACACTCTGGAAACTCAAGGAAGAGAAGGCAACGATGAAAGCCAATTGTGAGCACAGGGACCAGACAGCAAGACACAGGACAGCAGACAAGTCTTACAATTTATGTGTTAAAAACCGCTTTCCACTGAATTCTTGACGCCCTCTCCTTGCACTTCTTGAGTCAATAAGACTTAACTCTAAATAGATCACAATACCAGCTCCAGTCAATAGGGTAAAAAAAAGGTCATGTTTTCCGCCAAAATGAAAACCGCTCCGTCAAGTGACACCATCCTATTACACACCTGTTCCTGAAGCTATCAATAGTATGGCATCGTGAAGTTATGATGGCGTGCATGTTTCCGATCATAGCTAGCCCTTGCTAAGTGCCTCCCATTTCCCCATTTCTCCCATACCGGTCCTTTCCTAAGCTTCAACACTGCAGAGAGTTAACTTACCGGCATTCCCCCTGAGGGGGCATGGGCCGCTGTCTCCACCCCACCCCCTTCCCTCTTCACCGCTCTCCCTCCTAATCTCCGGCGACCTTAGCCATCTCCGCCGACCCTGTAAGGTGAACTTGGCCTTGTTCAGTTTCCGCTTGCTCACCGCCTCCCAAACTCCTGTCTCTGTTGGGGGCCCTGGTCGGAGGACCCTCTCCCCCTCCACCGCCTCTCACCTGCGCACCTGGTCAAAGAACTATCTCTTTCAGCCCTAACCGGTCTGGCTCAGTGGATAGAGCGTTGGTCTGCAGACTGAAGGGTCCCAGGTTCAATTCCGGTCAAGGGCACGTACCTTGGTTTCCGGCACATCCCCAGTAGGAGGTGTGC